ATAGAAATTTCCTAGTAATTACCGAAATTTCTCAGAATTTTCTGTAGGAAGTTCTTCATGACAACTAGTTAATTTCGGAAATTTTCTTGTAATTTCGTCTCTATGTGTTCGTTTTTTCCGTAATTACTGAGAAATTTTCTTTTTGCATAGGTGGTATTTGTGGAAGTTATCTTATAATTTTCCTTGTGTAGTATGAGTAGTTACCGAAGTTTGCAGAAAATTTCTTTTCTCATGTGATGGTAATTTCTTTGTTTTGGTTATAGTTGGTTTGGAATAGTATTGTGGTAGTTACGGTATATCCTTAAATTTGCATTTTGTATAGCTGTAATTTCCAAAATATGCAGATTTAAGAAGGAAATTTCCTTTTTTGAAAATCTGTCCACTGCTGAACAATTAGAGTTACATGAATTTTGACCGAAAGAATTTTGGATCCGGTGCGAAATTCCAGTAACCTCTCGACCGAGGCTAAAATTCACACAGGACTTTCAATCCGAGCCCAAATTCCTTTCATTACTTTCCCTAAAAAATCTGAAGTTTTATGAAAATGCGATACACTCTGTAATGCTCCGCATAACAAACAAAGGTGGAGTTAGTACCAGACTTGAATGAAACTTAGCTATATTCGTCTACGACTCTGTTAAAGAGCTCCTACTTATTATCGTTACAGAGATACAAGTAATGTGAAAATCATAAAAAATTTTGAATTATTTTTCGATGTTTTATTGGAAATGTTACATGAAAGATTCTGCTCGAAAGGAGATTTACAAATCGAATTTCTTTTAAACAAATGATAAAAAAAATTATTCATTAATGTTTATATATTTGCTTTCCCTACCATGATCTATCACTTGTTTCAGTCGACTCGGTATTTCTTCCTACTATAAATATTCTCCATTGTTGTACTATTTGATTTTCCAATTCTAATTCGTTGTCAAATTGTTCACCTTTCAATCTTTCTTTAGTTGTATCACACACATTCTCAATTGGTCACATATCAGCAAATTTCGCATGATCTATTTCAGAATCCATACGTTCATCGATATCTTTTCATGTAATTCCTTCATATGTTTTGTTGTTTTTGCACTTTACAATCACCAAAGATAAAAAGATCATATAATTTTTTCCCCCTTCATAATAGTGTGGACAAACCACAGAATGGAAGAATTATATGCAGAAAGGTAAGAGTTACTCATAGTGAGTAGGAACGATCGAATGAATACAATTTTTCTCATCCATGATGATTTCAAAAATTCTTATGATTTTAATATCACTTATATCACTGTAACAATAATAAGCAGCAAAAGCTAAAACTCTGACATAGAGTAGATCTAGATGTCTAGTATATGTACTGTGAATATCAGCCTTGGTCAATATAGAAACATCTGAAGAAAAAACAATATTCTATGAGAGGATCAAAACTTATTTTACACCCTTTTATGGTTAGTTTTGAATAAAAAAAACATGATTAATAATTCTACAAGAACCGTTTCCAAGTCGAAAATTGGAGTTGGTGTATTCCTACTCGTGAATGACGCTGAAAAAATCTTACTATTAGAATTTAGAATGTGCCTCATAATGCAGTATCAACAGAGTAGAGCTTGGCCAGTTCCCAGTTCAAAGTTTAGATCCATCAAATGAGCAGAAGAATTATCCGAACAGATCGAAACTACGGTGGGAATTGTCGACCCTTAATCAATAATATAAGTCTTTATTTATCAAATTGTTGTAGTCATTTTAAACGTTATATCTTTGTTACTGACTCAATAAAATCAACAAAAGAAAATATATACTATATTATTAATAGTTTTATTTATTTTTTCATATTTTGAATATAATAAAATAGAAAAAAAAATTCATTTAATCTTAATTACATTGTTATTCAAGTAAACAGTTTTGAGACATGCAGTTGAGAAGAGCTATTGAAGTCCAAAAATATCTGATTTAATAAATGACAAATATTTTTTTGGTATAATTTTAATTTTTGTACATTAATGTAATGTTTTATGTGTTGTCACTATTATCATTTGATGAATTTGGTTCGGATGTAGTATCACAGATTATTTCTATTCCAGTGGCGTTGCCATTTTCAAATGATTCGTCGGTCATTGTTTTGTTCTTTAAAAGAATTTCTTTTCTGTCAAGTATTCACCTGGCTCACCTGTGTTTATATGCTATTCAATTGTTCTTATCGTGTAAATATTGCATGCCGTATGTAGGAAAGTTTTTTTTACAACACGAATACTTAAGCAAACATTACAACAACGCAACAATTTTATTTTGGAAATAACCCATACGTAGATAATGTCGGAAGTTTCCAATGCTTATAATTGTAACGAATATTTGAGTCGTCAAACATTATACATCGGGCCATTACCGATAGTATTACACAGTAACTAATTACAAAATTTTGAATTTTTTTAAGTAATAATACGGAAATAAAAAAAAAAAGGTTTATCAGTACAACTTCTTTCGAGCTAAAATGTGGAACTCACATATTTCTCTTTAACTTTGTTATACTAATACAAAATATATAAAGTAAAAATTTTCTAAAAGACATATAGTTACCTTCCAAGTATAATCGGTCGTCAAAGAAACAATCTATCTTATTTGTTTCTGTTTCTATCCTTTCAAGTTTTCTTGACTCATTTTTATTGTTATTCTAAACATATTGATTTAACTAACAAATAAGATTGTTGTACGCATTCATTATTTCTACAATAGGTCTCAATTACAATACTGTAGAACAACGTTTTGTTTTTAAGTTCCGCATCCTGTTTTCTTTTCAAAATGTCCCACCGGATGGGACAAATTGGATTCAAAACTAGTCGCAATACAGTATTATGTATATTGATTACTTCCGAAATTCAGAACTTGATTAGTTTATGCTATTTGTGTTGGTTAAATGACGACTGTCGTAAATCAATGTAAAACTACTCATCATCCTTGATATATGCCACATAATCGTTTATCTGATTGAAAATCTAATATTATGCTATTTAAAACATTTAATAATGTGCTACTTCTTATGGTATGTGTCGTATATATTATTCATTAGGAGAAAAGAAGTTATGAATTGAAAATGCATCTGACAAAACAAATAAGCTTATTCAGTACAACGATCTTTTTCGAAATGAGAAAATTTCAGAGCGTGCCTATCAACTATAAAAATTGTTATGATTTTGATTTATTCATTCATTTGACATCTTGTTAAATAGATTATTTTAATTTCTCTGGCAATATACCATAAATTTATAACAGTCAGAATTTGTAATTTTCATACTTTCGCCTCCTCTTGAAACTACATTGACAAGTTTTAATATCGAGTATTTATTTTATTAAGTTTTATAAAAAGATAAAGTAAAAAAAAAATCATGGAATGATTTTAATTGAATTAAGTAAACGTAGGACTGGTCTCACAGCAGCTAATCTTACTTCTGTAATTTGATATTCTAATTGTCTTAATAATTCCTTGTGATGTGAAATCCAATGTGATAATGTCCATGAATTCATAGTATTATTTTTATCACGATGTAATATCTTTTTTGAATTATAATCTAAAATTCTCAAACCAATTTGACCTATATGAGCAAGATTTACTGATAATTGTTCAATATTTTGTCCCCATATTTCTTGATTTTTAGTTTTTTCAACACTATCAAATAATTCTTTTAAACGTAAATGATTAATAGACCAAGTTTGAAATATATTACGATATGATGATTCATCATTAATAGGAAGTTTTTCTAATTTCCATATAAGTTCACTTTCTGATTGTAAAACATCTGCAAATGTTGTTAATGAAGTATTTGTTGAATATTTAAAAGTTCGAGAACGTTCTGGTTGACCACATGGTTCAGATACATCAGCTAATATAGCTAATGGATGTAGAAGATAGATTTTTTTCTTTGGATCAAGAATTAAATTTTGTAATTGAGTTTTATATGATGAAATATGTGTTACACCTGTTTGCATTTTATCAAATAAATGATTTAGTCGAAAGAGACGTTCATAAAGAAAATTTTCATCTTTAATTGAAGATGGAGACCAAAAACGTTCAACTATAGCTAGAGCACGAGGCCAAATACGAGAATCAATTGAATTTGGTGTGACATATTCACTCCATATACATGCTTCACCACCTAAAATATGACTTTGTTGTTGTTCATGGAGTAAACGTACATCATTACGAAAAATTGGATCAACTTTATAATGATTTCTTGATAATAAAAGATGATCGAGATAATAACCATTAGAAACTATAACTCGATAACCTTTTATTATGGCATTTTCAATTGCTTGTTGATGTTGCCACGCTTGTATAATCGCATCTTTATCTACCATTAGATTTTTATGAACTTCATCAAGAATTTCTTCCCATCCAACCATTATTTTTCCATATTTTTTAAGTAGTTTTTGTATACGTTTATTAAAATAAGCTTGTAAACCATGATTATTTTCAAGCTTATGTTTATTAATAAATTGTTGAATTGTTGGTGATTGTGTCCATTGTGAACCATCAACTTCATCACCACCAATATGAAAATATGGATCAGGAAATAATTTTGTCATTTCTTTAAGAAATTTATCAAGAAATATATATGTATTTTCTTTAGTAGGATCCATTGTAGCTTTCATTACACCCCATTTGGTTGCAATTTGATATGGACCTGGTTGACTAGCTAATTCTGGATAACCAACAAACCAACTAAAATATATATTCAAATCAAATAAATATTATGTTTAAAAATTTTTGTTTTTTTCATAAGAAAATGATCATTATGTTATTTAATTACCTTGTTGCATGACCAGGCATATCAAATTCAGGTATAATACGTATACGTCGTTGTCGAGCATATTCAACAAGATATTCAATGTCTTTTTGTGTAAAAAACTCTTTTCTATCATGTAATAAATTATATTCAATACTTTCAACACGAAAACCTTGATCATCAGATAAATGTAAATGAAGAACATTAAATTTACTTAATTCCATTGTATTTAATGTTCGCTCAATAACTGATACAGGCATCCAATGGCGAGATACATCAAGTAATAAACCTCGCCACATAAATCGTGGTCGATCAGTTATATTTACTAATGGAATATAAGTTCTTTCTGATGATGTATTTCGTTCAATTAATTGAACAAATGTTGATAAACCTCTAATAATACCTGTTAATGATAATGAATATAAATATGAACCTGTTTTTGTTATATTAAGTGTATAAGATTCATCTTCACCAAGTTTTGGATATGTATTATTTTGTGATGTTATTAATGGACAATCAATAATAAGTTTGTTTCCAGATGATAAAAACTTTTGATTAATCTCTACTGATATTCCTATTAATAATGATATATATTTTGAATAACGACGAAGAGCTAATTGAAGATCTTCTGTCGGATTTTGCTTTGATATAATTCGAAAACCATTTGATATTATTAATACAGAATTTTTTTTATCAATAAATTGTGGGAATGGTATTACATTAATATTAGTTAATATAGAATTATTTTCATATTCAAAATGATAATTATCAACCTCATAATGATAATTATTTATATTGATTAGTAGTGTAGATGACTGTTTTTTATTTAATAAATAATAAATAATTACAAAACCTGTTATAAGTAGTGTAAATAATATTTTAAATATAATTTTCATTGGTATCATATTAAATTAATCAATTAATGAATAGTGTATACAATTAAATATGATAATTAAATTTTTTTTGACTTAATATAATTTATACTTAATCACTTTTATTTATAAGAAATAATGTAATGTAAGATTAAAGTTCAAATCTAAGGATAATATTAGATTTTCTGTGACTATAGGTGAAATTCTTCTTTTCTTGAAAATGTTATTTAGATATCTAATAAAATATGTTTATCAAAAGTCAACTCTACTCATTTACTCTACGATCAAAATGTATGTCATTAGAATGAAAAATATTCTCAAACATAATTTTATATAAACTAATTCACATAAAAGTTATTTTAATATTCTAAGAAATAAATATTTGTTTTTGATATTTACACAAAAAAAAACAGAAAATAAAATTATCACTAACATCAATGAACGTTATTTACAGTTTGCTTATTGATCACGAACATGTATAAAAAAGTAGTCATACTAGTTGATTTGTTGCTAAGGACAGTCCCTTTCCTTTCATCTCTGTTTCTTAATCGTCTTCTCAGCATATGCTAGCAGGACGATTGAGAAAAAGAAACAAAAGCAGGGATTATACTTCGCAACAAATAAGCTAGTATGGCCATTTTTTCATAAGACGCGGCTAATGTGAAATTTGAGCAAAATTTAAAATTTTTTATTTAGCTACGGTTGGATAGAGCGAGGGAAACTGCACTGAAAAATGTGTTTCTTTTAATTTTAAACTCTATTTTTACGAGAAAGAAAAATCAAAATACTTGGTTATCCTAATTTTTTAGAAAACGGCTCAGTTGTTGAAACGAGAAGCCAACAGTTTTTGTTTCTCCTTCTTCTAACATTTCAAAGGTACTTTTTTCATCAGACAGGGTGTAAAGTCGTCTATAACAACTCAGCTTTCACAATATTTAAATATAACATTATCGATATTTTTTCAGGTCGGGCAGAATCCATGCAAAGTCTGCGTTGAATATCTTACAAAGCTATCTAATTTTTTTTGGTAAGATTCTAAGCCAAATTTTATATAATATTGGAAGTGCCCTGAAGCAAGCAACAAAAGTATGAATAGATTTTTAAAAAATGTTCTTCGTTATGAACAGATTTTGCTTTTCCCGAAATTTTGGCATTTTTTCTCAAAGTGAGGATTCGTATTTCGCTATTTTCTCAGTCGAATTATCTTTTTCCATAAAATCAGATCATATTCGGAATTGGCATACAAAACGGAGTCGAATGATATGTTTTGCTCGTCATTCGAAGAACTTTGCATTTTCGACCCAAATTTCGTCCCTTCATTCTCGTAAAAATTGCGAAAACTCAAAAAAATAGAAATTTTTTCCAGTTGTATGAAAGACAAATCATTTGGCTTCGTTTTGTATGCTGATTCTGAATATGATCTTGATTTTGTCGGAAAAGATACTTTGATTGAGAAAATAGCGAAATACGAGCCCCCGGTTTGAGAAAAAACGCCAAAATTTTGGGAAAAGCAAAATCTGTTCGTAACGAAGAAAAGTTTTTAAAAATCTATTCATACTTTTGTTGCTTGCTTCGTGGCACTTCTAATATTATATAAAATTTGACTTGAAATCTTACCAAAAAAACCTAGATAGGTTTGTAACATATTCAATGCGGCTTTTGCACGGATTTGATCCGACCTGAAAAATATCGATAATGTTATATTTAAATATTGTGAAAGTTGAATTGTTATAGACAACTTTACACCCTGTCTGATGAAAAAAGTACCTTTGAAATGTTAGAAGAAGGAGAAACAAAAACTGTTGGCCTCTCTTTTCAACAACTGAGCCGTTTTCTAAAAAATTAGGATAACCAAGTATTTTGATTTTTCTTTCTCGTAAAAATAGAGTTTAAAATTAAAAGAAACACATTTTTCAATGCAGTTTCCCTCGCTCTATCCAACCGTAGCTAAATAAAAACTTTTAAATTTTGCTCAAATTTCGAATTACTTGCATCTTACATTTTCGCGACCAACAAGCAAATCGCGATTAAGGCTCATTTTTTCAAAAATCTACTGGATGTCACAAAAGTTTTGCAACATTTTAGGTTTTGAATATAGCTCAGTTTAGACAAAAGATAAAATGTTGAATTTAATTTTGGAAAATACGCAATTTAATTCTCTACAAATTTGTATTTAGGTTAATTTAAAATAATAGACCTCAACGTTTTTATGGATCGGAAGACAAGATTATATGAATTGCATCTACTTCTTACACGTTTTTCTGACTATTTCGTGTTATAAACAGTCGTTTAAAAACCTAATTATCATTAATACTATCAGATATCAGTGTCGTTTTAGAATAAATTGTCTGCATTCGATTACAATGTATTTGAGCCTAATAAGAATGGTCTGTTAGGTATACTACTGCAAAAACAGCATTCTTGGCAACATCCAGATTCTTCTTCCGTTTGAATTGTTTTATAAAAATATTTTTTGAACTTCAAGTAGAAAGAGAAGTCCGCTTCTTACAAAGTACTGCAAAAATGAAGAAGAAGAAGAATACCCCGCCTTTCGGCTACCTTGCGGTATAGGGTACTGTCAGAGGACAGTTTCGATAAGCCCGATGTTTTTCTTACATCTATTGCTAGATGCAGCTCTGGACAGAAGGCCAGCCTGACGCAGGGTTCTTCCCGCTTAATCACTTAAGCTCCCCGTACACACTGGCTAACCACATACTAGTCACACGGACTTTTTATTGTATGTCAACGCGTAGTCAGTTTGTTATCGAATGGCTAGTCCGAGACAAAACAGCCGTTAGTGACTTGTCCAAGGTCATTCTATGACTGATGGAGCCGAGGTTCGAACACAGTATCTTGTGAATATGTGTCAAACATCTTAACCATTCAGCCATAACGGCCTGCAAAAATGAATTCGGTTTTGTCAGCGGTCACGTTTTTAAGAGGTGCTTTTCTCGAAAGGGATAATTGAGAGGAAATTTTGCGATTGTCATAATATTGCTTCGTAAAAAATTCTGTCAAATAGAAAGATTAAATATTAATTATATTAGCGATCGACCTAACCTTTCAAGAGCCATCTGACAGTCTAATTTTTTAAAAAGCGAAATATTCATTCATACAAAAAAAATAATTTAATAGAACCCATATGAGAAGTAAATGTAATTCATATAATCTTACCTTTTGGCCCATAAAAATGTAAGTGCATTATTTTAAATTAACCTAAATTCAAATTCGTAGAGCATTAAATTGAGCATCTTCCAAAATTAAATTGACGATTTTATCTTTTGTCTAAACTGAGCTTTACGCAAACCACAAAATGTTGCAAAAACTTTTGTGACACCAGCTATTCCTCGTTGAAGACGTGGTTGCATACTGTAAAGACCGTTACAAAAAAAGAAAGACAAAAAGAGATACCCTTGAATAGTCGGTGCGTACACATTGCTCTTCTATAATATATACATATGCTCAAAGTAAATTGTATAGAAAACAAAAAAAAACGCTTCACATGCGCTTCAAGTGAAGGTTAACAGAATGTTTCTTTTTATATAATAATATATCAATCATATTTAAGGTGCAAAGCACTTTATACTATCGCGTCGCGAGTTTTCTTTATTTGTTTCTTACTAGAATACGCAAGTTTTTTTCACATTTTGTGACGCAGTGATCTTGAGAACGAAAAGTCAGAAATTCCTGCTTCAAGCGTTAAATAAAAGCGTCGAGATCGAATTGAAACCTCCTTTTTTTCAATTTTCGTTTTGATGTTCCGTTCAGCTACACACAGCGTCCAAAAAAGACGAATTTTTCAGGACTCTAGTTTTTTTCAAGCTTCGAGATAATTACTAATGTCTAATTTTTTTAAAAGTATCAACGACTATTTCTTGAATAACTTTTCAACTGTTCAAGTTATAGAGGTCGGATTTTCACCGTTAGAAAGAACAAGGTGAGGGAGATGTCGATCTGTATAAAAATCATTAGGTTTACGAGTCTTTTGTATGGTTATTTGCAGTCAAATATTTTATCGGTTGTCTATTTTCATGAGTTTTCATGACAACTTAACATCTAATTAGACCAAAATATAGCCCAAATAGTTCTGTACTCATGCTAAAATTTTCACATTTTAACATCAAAGCGTAAGGAAATAAACTCCAGAATAAGACGCAACAATTTGAAAATTTTAGCACAAATACAGGACGATTTGGGCTACATTTTGGTCTAATTAGATGCTAACTTGTCATGAAAACTCCTGAAAACTCCTGAAAATAGACAACCGATAAAATATTTGACTGCAAACAACCATACAAAGGACCCGTAAGCCTAATGAATTTTATACAGATCGATGTCCCCCGCCTTGCCCTTTCTAACAGTGAAAATCCGACCTCTATAACTTGAACCGTTGGAAACCTGTTCAAAAAATAGTCATTGATACTTTTTAAATAATCCGACATTAGATGGTATTCGAGTCGAAACTCGAATACAAAATGCAGTGCGAAGCATGAATCTCTCGAGTTTTTGAAAAAGAGGATATTTCGTAGAAAACGAAAATTCGATTGTCGAATTAATAGCAATCGTCATTTCTAGTTGAGTCGTGTACAGAATACAGAATATAGACACTTCTCTGTATCATTGGAATTCGAAGAATTACTTTTTCATGAGTCAGCTGATATTAGTCACGAGAAAATTGAAAAGTACCATAATAAAATTTATCACCACGAGAACTCTATGAAACCCTATGAACACTATTTTGAATGACGATTTCGATTGATCGTTTAATTATCTATATGATTCATTATCTATAATCATCTGTAATTACAGCTGTTTGATATATGAAGAAAAACAATGGCCTCTAACTTTTCTCGTCGTTTTTGTTTTAATTATCTCAAAAATAAAGAAGACACAAAGTCCTCAAAAATTACTTAAAATTCATTAGAACAATCATCCTCTATGTATTGATGAAAATATTCTAGGCAGACTTTATTGTTTTAAACTATTTGTATAAAAAAAAAACTTCATTTCTCATCTGACTTCATATTAAACAA